CAGCCAGCATGGCTGGCTGGGGAATTCTGGGAGTTGAAGTCCACCCATCTTCAAGCTGCCACGGTTGAGAAACGCTGCTCTGATGCATTGTAGTATTCACGGGCATCGTTTAAAAGCAACGAAGGCTTGGCTTCAGAAACACACAAAATTAGGATTCGCCATATTCCAAAGTCCAACTACTATCCTGTTTCTAGCTCTTCGGATGGCCAAAGTGACCTCAACGTGAGAATCCCCGCACCGCAAGGCCTGGGAACCTTTCTGATCAAAGGCATTAAGTGGCTTTGCATAATCGGATGAGCTTTTCGCTCCTCCTCCTTTCGAGCAGAGGCCGAATTAGGTAGATTTTGGGATCCTTCTTCCCTTGGAGCAAGGTTTGGCGTTGGTCCTAAGCCCGGTCCTGAGGCCTAAAAAATTGGCCCCATCAAAGGGACGGCTTCAAAACATCCCTTTGCAGGTTGTAACAACAGTGGAAGTGGCTTCGTGTACCGTTTTTCTTGGCTCCACAGCTTGAGGGGAGGAGAGCGGCTGGTAGACTTTGAACCAGTGCCCCGTGCTTTGCTGAAGAGGTAAATAAATATTGCCTGCGGGGATCCGTCCGGGCCCAGGAGCAGAGGCTGTGCAAAGCCTGCTCAGGAGCCCGGGCGGGCGGGAGGAAGGATTGCCCAGAGCTCAAATTCCAAAGGAGTTTTGCAGGGCTGGCACTGAGCAATGAAGGCAGCCGCACTCCACTTCATCCCCATTCAGAAGGAGATTGGATCGTTCAGCTGCCAGTCAGGCCTTCTGGACTGGGCCTCGGAGGGAGAGCTCCAGGCCGGTGGAGCAGCTCCGCTCAGGCAGCCCCATGCCAAGGTATAGGAGGGAAAAACATCCAGACGGGTTGAGTTCTATTAGCTGTGGCTCAGAGTCCAGGTCTCGCGAGCAGAGCAGAGCAGAGCAGAGCAGAGCAGACAGACGTCGTCCCAGGCAGCGGTGCAGAATCTCCTGCCCCTGAACATACGTCCTGTCCTTAATCCTAGCTAGGATTGCTTCAGAAGTTGCTAAAAAGAGGTCATTTGGGATGAAGCCCTGGAGCAGAAAATCCTTTGGGTGGCGTGAATCACCCCAGCTTGATCAGCCAGTCATTTTCCTTAACAGACCCGAACTGACCCAAGAAAGGCTGGGGCTGGCAGAGGGATGGAGAAAGAGGAAGAAGGAGTTTACAGCAGTGGGTCTTGGTCTTCAAAAGGGAGCCTTCAGAGAAAGGCAGATGCCCAAGTAACTTTCAGGTCTGTGAAAGCAAGAATGGCCATCAGTCTGCGGGGGTTGGAGCAATAGAGTGCAGCTTGGCGAGCCTTTCAAGCTGGCAACTTTAAGATGTGTGGAGTTCAGCTCTCAGAATGCCCCAGCCAGCATGAGAAACGCGGCTTTAACCATCCTCAGCTTCCTTCCAAACTTTTTCTGGCTTTTTCCCTGTGGAAAGGTGCAGCATTAAAAAGCCCCCTCTGGCCAGCCGTTCCTAGAAACCCGCTGCCATCCGCCTTGCTCGCTGGTGCCTCGAATCCCATTTCAGCACCTGGACGCCAGGCCGCTGTCTTCGGCTCCAGGCGTCTTCGGCAGTGATCTTAGTCAAAACCGCCTTGCTAATTATTCCTGCCCTAATTGGTTTAGCAAAGCAAATTAGATTACGCTGATCCTCTTGCTGCCAGACAGGCCTCTGGGGAGGAAGCAGGCAGTTGAGTGTGTGTGTGTGCACGCACGCGTTCATGTTCATGTGTATAGTGGACATTTTAGTACCCCGGCGTTGCTGAGCTTGTGCCCTAAAGAGCTTTCAGATTCACACAGGAGATACACCTGAGCAGCCTTCCCAAACAGATGGCTTTCTCCACCTGTTCTCAGAGTGGGCAGACAGGTGGTGAGCCCAGGAGGGGGGCAACCTTGCCCTTTCGGCATCAAATCATTGGAGCATTTGTACTTTATGCTTCTTCTAACCCGTGGCTCACGGGCACCAGATGCATATCCCCTGCTAGTCAAAGGAGACTGAAGCGGTTTGCAGGAGCTCTGAGTCTGGCGTAAGAAGCAGGCGTGTCCTTGCGACCCAGTGAGGTGCCAATGGTGACCTGAATTCCATGCAGGCAAGTAATGCAGAAGGGATGGAGAACCGAGTCCTTGCATCAAGGATCTGCTTGATGGAAAGCTCTACAAAATAAAATAAATACAAACCAGGCGGCAACCAGGGTAGTCAACTGCATCAGCCATGGAAGAGGACACGCTTTGATTTCTATGGCTACCTGTGGGCTTCTCCATTGAGGAAAGATTGTGTAGGGGAGGCCCTTCCTTGTGGGGTTCAGTATGATTAGTGTTGATGCCAAGCTTTGCCAGATGCCACCCTCAAGACACCCCGTTGGTAGGTGCAGGGGCCAAGTTCATCTTTAATTCCTTTTTGGTGAGCTACCGAATAAAAACGCTGGGCAGGTTTAAGAAAGCCGGACAGGGCAAGCATCTGCTATGAGTTTGCTCCTTGGCACCTTCTCCCCGCGGGCACCTCCAGACCTCGTGGTCAGAGTTCCTCCTGGCTTCCTGTAAATTGCTTACGCCCCTTGCTGCCGTCTTCAGGCCCGCTGCGTCAGCGCTGCCTCAGCGCCTGCATCCGGGGTGGAGGGAACCCGACATAGAGGCCTCCCCGTGCTGAGACAGCTCTTGTTGGAGGCCGGGCCCTGCGGGTTGAGCCTGTCTAGCTATTCTTGGCTCTTATAGGGAAGGAAAAGGAGTCGGTGCAGAGCTTCTGTCTGCTGCCTGCCTGTTTTTCGGCAGCCTCGCTTCCTACCCTGACGGCTTTGTGCCAGCTGCGGGGGTGGGGAGTGGACTCTGAAGGATGGCTGGATTTGGGGGGATCCTTCTGGACACACACCCTCCATGTGAAAATGGGGTGCCTCTCCATGCTGCACCCCCTTCCTTTGGCTCCAAACAGAAGGTAGCTCCTAATGGACTGGAAGATACTGACAATTGCTCTGTTGCATCCTTCCTGCCTTGCAGAGGGTGGACTTTTGGATCCCCACTCTCAGCCTTCGAGGGCAGTTGGCTTTTGCTGAGCAACAGAAAAAGCTTCTGGGCCTTGTGGCTGCAGAGAGAGGGTTGAAAGGGCAAGCGGTTGCCGGAGTCCGAATATTTCTGTATGCGTCTTAACTCCTCCTGCAGGACTGTTCCCTGCGGTCATACAAAATGCGCAGCTTTGGTTCGCAAGGCTAATTCCAGGAATTTGCAGTTTCTTCCTTGGGCAAGACTTTGGATACCTGGGACATGGGATTGTTGTGTGCTGAATCAATGAGTTGTTTTATGGTGCCTTGCCTTTCCTGGCAAAGGGTCTGCCCGTTTGGCAGGGCTTGGAGCTCAGCAGCTGAGCCTGCTTCTTTCAGACCGGCAAGAAGCGTTGAGCTCCAGTTCCACTCTCCTGACTTCTTTGCTTCAGCTTCCCTGGCCCAGCCTGCTCCAGAAGTCTGGGGCAGGGTGGGGGATTTGGGAATTGCAGGCTCCCACACTAGACGGCATCAGGTTAGGGAAGGTGGCATGGTTAATCTTGGGGATTCACTAATCCCCCTCGCATGGCTTCATTTGGAGGTTTAGATAAGTTAACGAAGGAAGAGAGGAGGCCATCAGGGGCCACGGGTCCCGGTTGAGAAATAAAACCTCCAGGCTTCGTTGTGGTCTGCTTGGGGAGGTAGCAACATGGGGAGAAAGCTGTTGCTGTCATCCTCTGTCCCTGCCCGCTGTAGAAAACAGGATGCTGTGCTGGACAAGCCTGGGGTGTGATCCAAGAAAGCTTTTCTGATGTTCTTTTATTTGGGTGGAATGGAGGGTCTCTTGTTCCTAGACACCATGGGTGAATGCTGAAGTCCTCCCCGTCAGCAGAAATTGAGCCTGTCTGGGCAACGGCTAGTCTAGACCAGTGTTTCTCAACCTTGGCCACTTGAAGATGGGTGGACTTCGCCTTGGCCACTTGAAGATGGGTGGACTTCAA